TATCTGTGGGAGATGAAACTACAGCTTTTCATTCACAGAGGAAAAGGAGACATCCTCGGGCTTGAAAAGGCCCCTTGGAGCAAGTATCAAATAAGGAAGCTAGTGGCTTGTGACCAAGGGACACAGTGCTGGAGGCTGAAAGTGTAGGGTGGACACCCATTAGACAGCAGAGGACTTGATGCTCCACAGAACTGCTTTACAGGAATGACAAGTGTCCATACTTCTGTCAAAAGCAGCCAGAGACCTGAGTCAAACATGAAATTTCCTGAGACAGGCAAAAGAAATACTCAGCCAGCTGGGCACCACTTGACTCTTTCTAGTCTAACAAAGGTCTGAGTCAATAATCACTACATAAAGGTCGGCAGAGCGGAGAGGAGCTAGTGGCTGACAGTGCAGAGCAGGCGACTGCAGTAGGGGTAAGCGCAGCAGTGGGCGCCAAGGTCAGGATGGGCTCAGCAGGGGAGCTGGGGCGGGGGGGGGGTTGCAGGGCGGAGGTCTGAGGAGAAGAGGGGAAGCCAAGAGGGACCCACAAATGTCTGGAACAATGCCATATCCAAACATGTGGAAGAGCAGACAGCAGGTTACTGAATTAATCATCACTCCGCCACTCTGTTCTGCATTGGAAACGACCTAAAGGATCTAATATTCAATTCCCTTTAGAGTGCAAGACTGTCAGGCAGTCCTTTGATGACACTCCAACCTCCCCTGGCTGGGCGAAAGCATCACCAACAGTACCTGCAGAGCACAGGTCAAAGCAGGGCAGTAAGTAGGAGAGTCCCTGGACTTGACTGGGGCCACAAAGGAGACAACACAAGACAGATGCCTAATAACGAACACAGAAGCAAATGATCTGGAAGACACAGGGAAGGCCTATAGCTTTGAAGAGGAAGAGGCAGTAGCCAGGAAGATTCAATCCTTCACAGACTGCTATTGGACTGAAAAACACATATGAGACCTGGGTCTTCAACTCCCAACCCTTTCCCAACATTAGCACCACTAAACAAAACACGATTTTCTGCTGCACTCTTAAAGCAGTCTTTCATTCTTACTTCCTCATTGCGATGTTATTCACACTTGTGGCACCCTGAAGACACTGAACTGATTCCTATCAATATTTTCCAAACAAAATCCAAACTTGATCCGAGCTCAAAGAAAGCAGAACTCACATCTGGCCCCACAGGCCATTCCCCAGAAGTTAGCAAGTGACATCCACAGGAACAAAGGTCCTGTGTCCCAATCACTGCACACCCACAATCTGCACTCAGAGCCTGGGCATCCGGATGGCTGTCCCGAAGACACCAGCAGTGAGTGAGGTGAGCAGGGGTTTGGGCTGGATGAAAGCAGCCTCTGTAGTGGTTCTTAAATGAACTTCCTCCTCTCCTTCCCCAGGATGCTGGACCTCCTGTCAAAGACAGCCCAGCTGTATTCTAGATCTTAGGGTTGCCAGAACGCCCCAACATTACCTCAAAAGAGACAAATACAAACATCCAAGTTCAGCATGGTAGTCTGAAGGTGAATGCAAAAACACCATCAGCCTTGGGTTCTTAAGAGTAAATAAATGTCACTGGTGACAAAAAGTGGAAGATGCTCTGAGCACTTGCCAACAGCCTTGCACTTCCCTCAGCGAGGAGAGTAGCGTGGGGGGCGGAGGGCATCAAGCTATCATGGTAGAAGGTGCAGGGCCCACAAACTCAGTGGCCTGTCTTCATGCCAGGTTTTCTTCCTCCTGGCACTACAGAAAGACAGGAGTGTGAGGTCGGCTCCATGGAGAGAGGGCGAGCTGCATGCCCTAGCCTGGCTGCTGGCCACTCACAGCTGGCTTCCACCTGACCCCAGGAAGGCCCAGCCATACTTCCCAGGGAAAGGCACCTCATCACCTGCAGAGGCTCTCAAGGTATGGGTGCAGACAATGCAGAGCAGAAGAGATGCTGTGACAATGAATCTGCACATCAACAGAGTATTACCGTCTCAAAGTAGAAAGAAAAGGAAGGCACAGTGAAAGAAGTTTCTCTCCCTTTAAAAACTATGAACAGAAAGTGATTTCAATGCACTTAGAATCAACACGTGACCACTCAGGATGTTCGCTCACACTACCACTCCCCTTATTCTGTCTTCTATCATTAAGGTTTTAAAAGAGGGAACACTTAGGAAGCAATACTGAAGAAAAGGGTTAAAGATAATCCTTACTAAACATCTCTTCTGCAATTTTCCCAATTTCATAGATCTGTGACCAAGGAACACTTTATCAATTTTCTAACACTATTAAATTGTTCCACACATGAACATATGCAACCATCAATGTCATCTGGTGAAAGCTTGCAAAAGAGCACTCAACTGTGTTTAGAATTCTTTTTATGAGTGGCGGAAACGGGTGGCAGGAGGGGTTGGGAAGATGGCTCAAAGGGCTACACAGCAAGGCAAATGCATGCTTTCCACACAGAAGTCTGGGGTTTGATTCCCAGCACACATGGTCCCCTGAGCACCATTGGGTATGGCCTTTTTATTTTTATTTTTTTAAAGACAAAAACAGAGAATAATCCTGCATTATATTTTGTTAATTTTGATCTCTCATCCTGTTATACATCTGCTACTTCCATCTCAGTGTTCTTCAAAAGATTCTAACTCCTTGAAATAATGACCGGCCCCACTATCTACCAGCTGAAATCCCTCGTCCCTGGTGAAATCAAATACTCCCCATGAAAATTATCTGAAGGACTTAGTTAGCAAATCAGCCTATCTCTATTAGTACATACAATAAAATAATAACTATTACCCAAAAGCAGAAACCTAGACCTCCTAATGCACTGGCTCTGCAAAACAACTTTTTAACTCTAAATTGGCTTCTTGTGGGTCTCCTGGGTCTCATTTGCCAGTGCTTGTAGTCACACATTCTTAGAGGAATCGAGTCTCTTGGATCATCATCAAAGTCACTCCCATAGAGTAGCGCTGCATTACCTAATTTGATGAAGGAACCAAGTAACTCAGAGCTCTTAAAGGTGAAATATGAAGCTCGGTGGTTGCTAAGTGGCTCACACAGAGAAAGGCAGGGTGGGATGGGCTGTGCCCTCAGCCCCTGGGAAACAAAGCGCTGGAGGGGCTCCTATCCCACGCCTCCACCCAGGAGTCACCAACTAAAACTCACACAGAATCAAAGATAACAAGAGGAAGGAGGGAGGGAGGGAGGGAGGGCCTTTTTCAGGAAAATACCATAAAGATCTGTGGAGGAGCAGAACAGATTAAGACTGTGGTCATCAGATATGGCGCTAGAAACTTACATACGGACCACAATTATTCCAATTTAGAATACACTCTCTCAAACTTGTTTCCTAAGGTGCTAACAATTCCACATAGCTCTCAAAATCACCTGTAAAACATGGAACTTCAATTCTCCAACTGCTGGTCAGAAACAACAGTTGAGTTGAGCTAAGAGCCTGAGTCTCCCACGCGGTGGCTCCAGACTGAAGCTGGCACTGCTAACTCCCCAATCCCCAGTAGTGGCCTTGGTGGACCTGTCCACACCAAAGCGTGTGGGCCCAGGCAGTGCCCAAGAGCCCCTCCCAAGCCCAGCCCTACTGCTACAGCTCTGTCCTGCTGCCTGCGTGCCCCTCAAGGACAGCATGCCAGGCCTAATGCCACTGGCTCACACTCAGACCACCGTGTCTGAGAGCCACATCCCCTCGGTGGCCAAAGAAACGCTACCCAGGTCTAGTCCTGTGCCACTATCCAGACAGATCATTCTGGGTCAGCACTGTTGCCTGCCTGGGTCCCTGAAAACCACAGTGGAGATGCACTCCAGCCCCCCCCCTCGGCCCCACCCCAGCTTCCAGAAACCCTCCTCTTTGCTGAGTCCTCCAAAGGAGTGATCTGCAACAGACTTGCATGCACCCCTGTGTACTTAAGTCTGGGGACAGCAGCTGCTGCTGCTCAGTGGGCCTCAGGCTCATCTGCAAAAGGGGGCAGTGATGGGCACTTCACAGGACTCACACGAAGGCAGGATGATCTCACAGACAAAGAGGGCTGGTTCTTACCCTCATTATTATTGTATTATTATTCCCGCTGTGTGCGGGCACTGTCACAATGAGAAGTACCAAGTCATGCTCTGCCAGTACCCCCAGATGCTTGCTCCTGCAGAGATAGAAAGGCAGCTCTGCAGGCTGGTGCAGGCCCTTCTCCCTGCCAAGTGGCACTGTGCAGGGAAGCTAAACCTGGCAGAAGCTCCTTCCCAGGCACTAGGCAGCCCCTGTGGAAACCACTTGCTGCTCCCTGCACCCAGCGGGCAATGTGCGAAGCTCCAGTATGGGGACCCTGTGTATCTACAACTACTCTGACAATTATTTTCTCGCTTCTTATGGACCAACCCATATGCCAGAAAAAAATACGTGACTGCGGTCAGAGAAAAAAATATGTTTTCTGTATCACTCGCCACAAATAATAAAACCAGGTCTTCACTATTTTACATATGCCACTTACCTCAGAAAGGCTAAACCTTTCATTTTCTTGGTGGCTGATTAAACCCTAAACACACTGAGGGCTGTCTTCAGCCGTTCCTGACTAATCACCATCAGAGGGCTTCTTTGATTAAGGAAAGAATACTACATACCAAGACGGGAGCTTTTATTCTGAGAATTCTGAATTTAGTGCCATGCATTCTGCCTACTTCTCTCAAATGTAGCCTCGTCTCCAAGTAGCTAACTGGGAATAAATCTTGTGTGGTATCAGAAGAGGAAAAAGTAACCATCCTCAATCTGGAAAATACTTTCTGTACTGCTTCACATGTGGTTTGAAAACCTTACAGGCAGTGCACGGATACAGGCCTGGTGCAAGAGGCAACTCAGATTTTGGCTCCATATTCAAACTAAACAGGTGTACTCAGAACCAACGATTACCCCCCCAGCGCATAGCAGTGGTACTTCACAGAGTTTTTTAAAAAAACCCACATCTCAAAACCATGAAAAGCACTCTGTTCTTGGCACGGCAGCCAGCATGCGTGAGGCTGTTACCTTTTAAAGGCTTCGCCGGGGTTTCTCTCACACTCCCCAGGCTGCAGCAGGCTCTGCACTGCCGGGTCCCTCAGCTTGTCCTCGTACCCTGGGAGCAGCCCGCTGCGGCAGATCTGGGCCACCAGGCCACGGATGAAGCCTCCCACACACAAAGTCTCCGCGTCCTGAGCCTTGCAGAAGTGGAAGGCCAGAGCCTGGCGGTGCAGGCCTCGCTGTGTGCTGCTGGGCGAGCTGGGCCATAGCAGCTCCGTGCACAGGGCCGTCTTGCCACTGCCAGGGCCTCCGACCAGGAGCACACCCCAGGCTCCTCCCTTGGCAGGGGCAGTCCCAGCGTTATTCCCAGAATTCCCGGGCGGGGCCGGGGTGTTGCCAGCACTGTGGCAGCAGCTGGTCTTCTCCTGGAGGCAATGCTGCAGCCGGTGGAAAACCCACTCCCGACAGTAGAAGGGCTTTCCCTGCAGCAAGCTCGTCTGGGCCATCCTGCATACTTTCTCCTCCCCGGGGTCGGTCATCACGGCCTGCCTGGTGTCCCCACCGGCTAGATGCTTGGCACACTGACCCTGGTCCCTGCAGCCATCAGGCCCTGGGCTGCAGAGTGCGCTGCTCTCCAGTGGCAGAGAGACCAAGCCACGTCACAGTCGACAGCAGAGTCCACTGGGCAAGAGCATGTGCATGGCTGGACTTGGAAGCTTTGTCCCGGCTTCACTGGAAGAGACATCAGTTCAGTCCTGGGACGGCAGACAAGTTATCTGGGGCCACAGCCTGCCGCTCTGCGCCTCTCTGCACGGGCACATAGCGCGGTGATTCTGCAGCGCATGTGAACAGTGGGTGCTTCAAGTATGCAGACAAGATAGACAAGATAACACATCTGGAAGACCGAAGAGAGCCGAGTCTCTTGAGTCACACAGCCGACTCGGGCGTCCCAGTGTGAGTCCCTTTCTGAGAATGAGTCCTAGGAGAGGTACCCCGGGGGCGCAGCAGAGGCTCATACAGCTGGCAGGCGGTTCTGCTCCTGTGCAGGGCACTGGGTCAGGTGGAGGCAGCTGGCAGAGCCCAGCATTTAGGCAGGGGCCAGGCAGGGACTGCTGGGGAGAAGGTTTCTTAGGTGGCAGGAATCGCGGGTCGTGGTTAGCACCGTCTTCGCCCGCACAGCATCCTCCTAGAAGGCGTTTTCAGAGGAGCGGGATTTTCCTCCTGAGCCCGTTCCGGGGTCTGTCCTCTTCACATGCTGGGAAACCAGGAACTTCTGCAAGTAACTGGAAGGAAACAAAGGCAGTCGTCTTGGTGCAAAATGTCACGCTGAACGCTTGCTCGTCCCCGGACGCAAGGGCCTGGAAATCCGAAAAAGAAAAAAAAATCAGGCTTGGCCTGTTCACACAGCCGGAGGCCGCCCAGCGCTCCGCACAAACGCCGTTTCCGGGCCTGCCCGCGTCCCCGGAGGGCGCCGCGGAACTCGGGCGCACGCCCCGCCGGGCCTCGGAGCCGGTCGCGCGGCAGCGGAGGGGTTAAGGACGCGAGGGTGACAAACGCGAACGGGGCACCGGCCTTCCTGCCTCCGCCCCCGGGAGGCGCGGGCGGGCGGGGGGGGGGGGGGCGCGCGGCCCGCAGACGCCCCCGGTTCCGCCCCGGCCTGCGGCTGACAGACAAAAGGCGTCCGGGCCGCCGGACCGCGCGGCCCCGCCACCCCGCCCGCCGCCGCGCGCGGGGCCGGCCAGGACGCGGCGCCCGGCCCGGCCCGGCCCGACCCCCCGGGCCGCCGCGGCCCCCGCCCGCCCGGGCGTGTCCGAGCCGAGGGCGCCGGCCCCGCGCGCGGCCCGGCCCGGCCCGGCCCGGCGCGCCCCGCCCGCCGCCCGCCGCGAGGCCCGCGCCGGTTACCTCAGCCCGCCGCGCCGCCCGCGCCCGCCGCCTCGGCCGCCTCAGGCCGGCGCCGGCCCCGCCGCCCAGCCCGGGCCGCGCCTCCCAGCCCCGCGCCGCCGCCGCCGCCGCCGCCGCCGACCGTCTGAGGCGCCCGCCGCCCGCCCCGCGCGGCCCCGCCCCGGCCCGCCCCGGCCGCCCCCGGCCGCCGCGGACCGCCCCCAGCCGCCTTCCTCCGCCGCCGACCGGCCCCCGCCGCCTTCCTCCGCCGCGGGCCCCGCCCACACCCCCCGCGGGCCCCGCCCCCGGAACCGCTTTGATCCCTCCTGCGGCCACGCCCCGCCCGGAGCCCCGCCCCGTCGCCGCCGCCCGCAGGCCCCGCGCCGCTCGGCCTTTTATCGCCTCTCCCCGAGGCTCCGCCTCTTTCATCAGGCCCCGCCTTTATCGGGAGCGGCTCGGGCCCCGCCCTCTCGGCGTCGCTTTGGACGCCGTGTTCAAGAGCACGCCCCGCCCCTCCGGTCCCGCCCCCTACCGGGCCAGGCTCCGCCCCTCCAGCTGCTCGGTCTTTCTTCGCCCGCGGGCTCCACCAAGCCCGTGGAGGCCCCGCCCCGCGCCCCTTAGGCCCTGCCCCTCGCCCCTTAGGCCCCGCCCCGCGCCCTTAGGCCCCGCCCCTCAGGCCCCGCCCCGCGCCCTTAGGCCCCGCCCCTCAGGCCCCGCCCCCGCGCCCCTTAAGCCCCGCCCCGCTCGAGGCCCCGCCCCCGTCCTGGTGCCCCGCGCGCCGTGGGTCCCTGAGACCTGCCCCTTCTCTAGGCCCGAGGGCCACGCTGCAGCCGGCCGCCGCCTTTGTCCTCGAGGGGGAGGCCGGAGCCGCACGTGCCGGAGCCGCGCCTCGCTCCCCGCCCGCGGTGGCCCCCGCCGGGCGGCCGCTCCCGGGAGTGACGCCCCCGCCCATCCGCCGGGCCGGACCTGGGCACGCGCCGCCTCGGGGCTCGGGCTGCGGGGTCAGGGACAGTCGCGGCAAGAAACCCGCACCTGCTGCCCTGAGCGGTCGCGGCCGGCCCAGGTCACTGCCCCCGCGGGGTTCGCTTCGTCCCGTGAGGCCGTGGGTTCTGTTTCCCTCCGCGGGCACAGCTCTGGGGGTGCTGCACGGGGTGGCTGGGGTCCCCGAGGAGGCAGGACTCCCGGGTGGGCAGTGAGGACACTGATGCCCAGTCAGTCGCAGTATGAGTGTGTGATATTACGAGTGGCCTTTGTGCTGCCGCTCAGCGTGCCCCGGCCCGGGCGCTCGGGAAACAGACAGCACGTGGACCCCACGCGTGTGCTCAGGTATCGATCAGAGATGGGCTCGGACGCCAGGGAGCGGACAGCTCCACTCTTTCCCCGAACACAGCCACTCCCGAGGAGACAGAGCAAAGGCCAGGGGCTCGCCAGGCCCCCTGAGCACTGCCGGGTGGGCCCGGCCCGAGTCAACGCACGGCGGATGAACTCGATCGCGTGTGGACTCACACGAATACACTTACGGACCCACTTTTACACAACTCGCGTCCTCTTCCTTGAAGCTGCAACGTCAGGCGCAGAGGGAGTCAGTCTGGATGGCCTGTAGCCCGTTGCTCCGCCCGTTTTCTCCAACAGGCCGTACTGGGATTTCCCCCCAAGAACGCTTTTTAATGTCGTTTTCCGCACTTTTCATTTGCTCATAAAATTTTAGCAGCCCCAGATTGTAATTGCATATCAGAAGACCATGCCGCTTTTCAAGTAAATGTCACTAAGCTCCCGTGCCTAGTGCATTCGGAGACGATAAGGATGAAGAAAATCATTCGCAGTTGTCATTTCCTTCCAGCCTCTCTGTGGGGGTCCCTCCCCACCCTGATGCATCAAGCGGGTAGTGGCGCCAGAGGCGGGCCAGTGGTGCCAGGGGCGGGGCATTGGCCTCAGGGGCGGAGCATCGACATTGGGGGCGGGGCATTGGTGCCAGGGGCGGGCCTTTGCCATCAGGGGCGGGTCAGTGGTGCCAGGGGTGGGCCAGTGGTGCCAGGGCCGCGGCAGGGGTGTCTGGAACAAGCAGCTGTGCTGAGCCTGAGTCCGCATGCCATGTAAGACATGTGCTTCCACCACACAGCTGCATTCCTACCTCAGTGGTGATTTCTTTTTATTGAAGTATACAATTTTTCAGCCTAAATGTGCCTAGACATATACATATATATATATATATTGCTTTTTGGGTCACACCCAGCGATGCACAGGAGTTACTCCTGGTTCATGCACTCAGGAATTACTCCTGGCGGTGCTCGGGGGACCATATAGGATGCTGGGACTCGAACCTGGGTCGGCTGTGTGCAAGGCAAACGCCCTACCCGCTGTGCTATTGCTCCAGCCCCAAATGTGCCTGTATTTTAAAAATCACCAAGATAACAGCTTTTAGCAAGTATTTCTACAAGACGATTTCATCATATCAATGCTTCTTACTGACAGTTCTGAAAAGAAGTTTGTACTTTTCAATTATAATTCATTTGGCCATAAACGATTTTACCCAATTAAATAATGACTGCTCCATTGAGAGCGTCTTCCCATCAACTGAAGTGTGAAAAGATGAAAGCGGGGTCTGGTCTCTCAGAACAGCTGGGCCAGGCCGGGGCACCCCCAGCCCATGGAGCAGGGCTGCGTTTCAGAGGCCCTGTTGGGTGCTTGTGCCCATCAACACTGTGCCCCGGGGGTGCCTGGTGCAGTCTTGATGGAGAGCACGTGGCCACCTGTGGAGCCCCCGCCTATTCCACAGCTGGGTGGACAGTGCAAGGCAACAGACTAGGGCATCCTCAAGAAGAAGAGGTTGGAAGGGCCCACTCTGAGAAAAAGGGTGCGAAACCCCGGTCCAGTTCATTTCCAGAGGACTTCCTACCCATCACAACCTGGTTTCAGGCCTGCCCCAATTCAGAGATCCCAAGTCACAGTCCTGTGCTCTCTGCAGTATCCAGGCTCCCGCCAACACCTTTCCACATGAAAGCAACCCCGCTCTCCAGAGCCTCAGTGAGGAAGGGCCCTAGGACCTGAGGCTGGGACGTGGACGCTCCTGCAGGTCCTGCCCACCCCGGGTCCACTGACACAGCCTCTGGCTCCCAGCTCTGTCAGAGAGTGTTCCGTCCTGGAGAGAGATGATTTTGCGACTTTGCTCCAGAAGGAGTGGTTGCTGGCAGTCTTGTAGATTTCCCATGAACTTCAGAGCTCTGTTCACTAATGCATCTCAATGCGTTATCGGATAGGACCAGCAGAAGCTGGAAATTAGTATGAAATGCTCCAACCCATTCCTGGCTATTTCAAACGGACTATTAATAGTTGACACAGACATGCACGTTATGGCATGTTAATTGCACTCACGGCCTCCGAGCCCCTGGTTCTCTCCGACACAGGCATCCTGAAGACAGAGACCCCAGCTGTGGCCGCCTCTGAAACCCCCCTTTGAAAAGAAGGCTTATGTAAGCCTTGCCATTCTCAAGCGCTGTCGCTGCCAGCTGTGTTTGTTCCTGTGCTTGAAAACAAGCCTAAAAATAGTCTTTTCATATAAAACTTTTAAGGTGTAGCCTCCCCTTGAAGGCCGCAGCTTGATTCAGATTCATTCCGCAGAATGGCTGGGCAGAGCAGAGATCTGCCAGCGGTGCCTGCTGAGTGGCGGGTGATGGTGCCCGCCGTGCCCAGAGGCTCCGTGACGGGCGTGTCACGCGAGTGACCCCTGTTCTCTGATCAAACTCAGCTCGTCCAGTGGTGCTCACCATTCGGACACCATTCGGACCCCTTCAAAGTGCTCCCCTTTGAGGAGGCCCTGGAGCTCACCTCGATGCCCGGCCTCTTCCTGTCAAGCCTCCCTGCACCTGGGAAGTCGTCTCTGGCTGGCCAAGGTATAAATCTCAAAAACAGCTGGAGCTGAGTCAATCGCTGAAGGCGAGTCCCCTTCCTCACACCCAGGTCGCAGGCCACGCAGACAGGGAGAATCACACAGAACCTGAGGGTTGGAAGAAAAGCGGGTGGTCGCTTCAGGGGCCAAGGACCCCCTCCGCACCCGGCAACCCCTCACCGAGGCTGCTTTGCTGAACGAGAAGGTTTTCTCCCTTGCCCCCTGATCCCTGTGCCCCCCAGCCACTCATGAGGCTTCTGTCCCCGGCGGGAGACAGCTGTCTCAGGAAGGTGGGTGCCAGGATCCCAAAGGGTGACGAGGGCAAGGCACTGGCAAGCATGCAAAGAACGGAGAGTGTGGGGGGAGCGCGTTCTGGAAAGCCTTAGCTGGGGAGGCATGCTTGCGATCTGTGTTCTCGGCCGGGGGTGGCCCCAGGGCTGGGGG